TATATTTATCTTAATTTATCCATATTATAAAAAATGACATACCTATAATAATAAATATAATAAATTTATATTTAGATATTATGTGGTTTTTCGCTGTTTCTCTCTTTATTCTATTTTCGATTTTGTTTTTATATCAAATGCTCACCACTTCTACGATTTCACAATATTACTATATTCAATCATTCCATATTGCTTTTACATTTTAATAAATAACTATTATTGTGTAGTGACAACAATAATACTCGTATAGACCTGTTGGCTAATGTGAGATTTTAACTTTTATTTTGATTTTAATTTGTGTACAAAAATAATAAAATAATTATTAATTTGGTATTATAATATATGAATAATATAAATATATATATACATATTTCTTTTGAATATGATTAACAAATATTTTCGATTACAATGTAACTTTTAGTTTTTAAAAGGTTTTCACCTAATAATTTTTATCGATACTTAAAATCAATTTCAAGCCCTAAGGTGTAACATACAATAGATTTTAATGCCATTAAGACCATACTCAATTTACATATTATAATACTGTATAGTGTATTTTAATATTTTAATAGATTTATTAAAAAAAAAAAAAATATTGTTTGTGAAATTATTCAATTTCGCTCAAAGTATATTTAGGAGAAAAAAATGTTAAATTGTAGCTTCTTTTTCGCCATTGTTAATAAATAGTATCTATTATAATATTATAGCTTGCTATTCGGTATTACAATATTCCGATTTWAGTTATACCTACAAACTGATAAAATTGTTCATAACTGTAAAAATGAATGAAAAATTCATAAATATTAATGTGGAATAAAAATTAACTAAACTATATATAATATATATATTATGTGAATTGACGAATTTTCATTTGGGACTTTAAGCTCACCGTCAATATTACAATTAGGATTCGGATATGCACTAAAAATATACGAAAATTCCTGTTAAAAAATGCATTTAAGAACTATAAACTCTAATATATTAGAAAAAATTCGTTGAAATTTAGTCAGGGTTTCTTTAGGAAACACACCCACAAGACCACAAACCTTAATTACTCAAGCCTTAGAACGTAAAATGCATATATATTTACTATACCTACCCATATGTAATCTGTAACCTACACAAATCATAATATTTTGTTTTAACATAATAACATATTTTTTAGATTCTAATGGTTTCACATTGATATGTTTTTTATTTRTCTTAATGTGTATTCAATATTGTAAATATATGATCACTATTTGGGGTAAAAGCAATTCCGTGTAAATCTATAATTATGTGTATATTATAAATTGTACCTAGTAATGGCAGTCGGTTAGGTTAGTGATGATATTTTTTTTATATTTTAGTTTTATGTGTGTATAGCTCATGAAGTGATAGAATGATTCAGAATATCTAATATATTAATAGAAGTGTATTTTTTTGATATAGGTACATAATTAAATGTATATCGGTTATTTCGCGAACCTTCACAAAATATTATTACCTATATCTTAAAAAGTTAAAACCATTGTTTTAATCGATTGTCACTATTTAATTCTAACAAATACTGTCCAGTGCCTAATATATAAATAATATACGGCTGAGTATAGAATATATATATATTATATTTTGAGAATTATTATATTATCTGATGTGTAACAAATTGTGTTCAGTAATTTTGAAAAAACTTGTTTATTTTAGATTGCAGTATAGAATTTGTTATTTTCTTTAATTTAATTGTAATAAAATTATCAAAAAATCTGAAACTTTAATTTAAGATGTCTTCGTGACATTAAAAAAATTTAAAAAAATGCTTTATCTAGTATGTTTATTTTTATATTTTAAATCTTATCTATCAAAGGAAAAATAATTTTTTTCATATAATCAGCAATCGTGGTTTTTCCAATATTATAAATCGACTATTTGATATTTTTGTAACTAAAAAATTGAATATACATTTTTGATCGTTGTCTATACATAAATTATTATTAAAAGCCTTAAAGATTTTGTATTATAAAGATTTTTCAGTATAACTTTCTAAAATCTTGTTTATTTTTGCATTGTTTACAGGATTTTTTATTTTATTTTATATCTAGCAATTTGCATTCTACAAACAAAACTTTTTATAAATCTGTAACGTTATACATACACAATTTATTTTAAAACCTTAAAAACATGATAAGCATGTCAGCATTGTAATTTTTTTAATAACGACCTTATGGCATAATATCTTTAATCTAGTGGATTATTGCATATTTTCGGCATTTTATTTCCTAATTGTTCATTATAATATATAATTAACGGTTTATAATATATTTATTCAATATATTACCGAAAACATTATTACTATTTTATAAATAAGTATAATTTATTAAACAATTATTGACTGAGTGCAACAGACAAAAATCACATTGTTGGTTGACTTTTTTCGGAACATGACTTATTTATTATAAGATTACCTAAATGACTTGGGATAAAATACTTTCGATACAACCAACATGATATTATAATATAATTATATATGCCTGAAAATTTCCCAAGTAAATAAAAATATATAGATTTGTTTTTGTTTTCGTTTTTTTTTGTCGTAGCAACAATCAAATAAAATCTAGATAGGTACCTATTACTACTGGAATAATATTGTGAGTCGTTATGTATTTAAAATAGTATACCTATTGAATTTATTTCATATTTAGCTAATGATTTTATTTGAATCCATAATAATATGTTTAATATTTTAAATAAAATACTAAAAGCTAAGATACCAAAATACATATGTATAATTTAAAAATATTAAAAAGTTTTATTTTTGTCCTTAAAAAATTTGGAATAGATACTATAATTATAATTATAATTATAATTATAATAATAATAATTATCATTATTATTATTATTATAATTCATAAAATAACAGGTTTTGTGAAATTGCGGGAAAATAAATAATATATTTTATAAATCTATAAAAGTTTAAGAGTAGAAGGCAGTCGTTAAGGAAGTTTACATATCTACATTATATATAGTTATATAAATAGTTTAAAGTTAGTTTGATATATAAATGTTTCATATACCTAAAATTCCTTTAACAGTATACAACATTCTTATTAAATGTGTTCTTAAGTTTATGTTTTTGCATATTTCGATATAATTTTTGATACATATCAATAATTTTTATGCTTAATAATTAATAACGTATAATATGTCTATTATTATTTCATATTTACTTATTGTGCTATAAAGTACAGATTGTAAATTTCATATTAAAAAAAAAAAAGTTGATGGCAAATTTTACGATTAGGGCCTTAAATATATTAGGATCTACTTCTAGATTATTTTGATATACCTTYAACTATATGTGTTTAGTTTAGATATATTTGCAAAAAATACAATGCTGGTACTAATAAAGTTAAATACAATATGCAACTCTATTTAGAAAACAAACTATTTTTTGCAATATAACTGTATTTAATTAAAAATGCATTGATGGTAGTTATACTCACAACTACTATTAGTCTATAAATTTCATAGACAATATATTTTTCTTCATTTTTAATTGAACTCAATATTATTCTTACAAATTATACGTGAATACTTTACGTAACAACCTAATTAAAGTTTTTGTGGTGTTAGGTGCTGTCTGAGAAAAAAAGAACGACAACATTAAAAGCTGCGTCAAGAAAAGCGAAGCAGTACTCTACTACTCTATTAAAATAACACAATAATAATAAATCATTGATAACGATTTCGCAAAATCGCGGAGATTCGGTTTTTCACAATATAATTATTTTGTCTTCTACTCCAGTGCCGGATTTAAAAATCTTCAGACAAAAAATGAACAACCCGGGAGTAAATGCTGTGACGGAAAATGAAAACGAAGATAGCAAGCTGATCATAAGTTCACTGAACTTGCACCGTTTAAACTATAAACAGGAATGCAGYGGAAATAGCAGCGGAAACGAAAACCGACTACGAATTCCCATTCCAACGAAGAAGCGACAGTTCGGGTACGATGAATACCCGAATTTCGAGAGACAGTACATACAAAACATTAACATCCCGACYACCACTAAGACGGAGAGTGACAACGAGGGTGCAGCACAAATCCACGATGACAATTATTACTTCCTGATGAGCTTGTTGCCGTACCTGCGTGAAGTGCCGAAAAACAGGAAAATGGCGATCCGGCACAAGTTGCAGAAAGTGTTTGTCGAAGAACAGGAGCGGAAAAGTATCGGTAGAAACAATAATGTGCCCAACCAGAACTTTCCCGCGCCATACTCGCGGGTTCACTTGACGGACCCCCCACRCCATCTAGCTCAGACTCCGAGACATCCGCCACCTCCTTATCCGGTTTATAATCAAGACGTCGTCTACAACTACGYTCCGTCTGCGGCATCAGCGTCGACATCGGCATCAGCGACAGTGCCTTTGCCAAACGCTAGCGCCTCGACGTCTATGGCCTTCGGTGATCATACTATCCAGCAGCAGCCGAGTATGCAGAAATACCCGGCGCCGGTCAGTCTGCCGAGCGGAAATCAACACGTGCAGCAGTACTACAATGCCACAAACCCGGTKAACAACAGCAACAACAACAACAACTTTTCTGGCTACAAAACCACCGCCGTCGACAAAAAAAGCTTTTCTAGTTTTAATGCCACCGCCGTGAACAACAACAGCAGCTTTCCTAACTACGACGGAACCGCCTTGGACAACAACAACACTATTATTACTTATCAGCCAGGGGTTACCGGGGAACCGCAAACCTTTACTTACTTGCAATAAGTCTCGAAATGTATGCATATGATATGGCGACACAACCATAAAACCATCCCTTCCTTAAACCATAATTTTATACAATATTTTTTTTTTTAATTCATGAAAAAAACTGAGGGGGAACCATTACTGGCGAACAAACACTTTGAAAAAATCTATCTGGTTGAAACACTGATCGATACCTTGTACCTATATGATGGGTAATAAAATTGGCTCTATTCACGCGACATAAAACACTATCTGTTAGTCTAAGGATTTTCTGCTCTTTGTTTTACCATACAAATTTGATACTAATTAGAAATTATTTTAATAATATACAAATTTATAATAGTTTTTATAAGTGCCTAGCCTCAGTCGTGTGCGTAATAATGGCGTGTTATTAACTCATATTTTTCCGTTTCTTTTTTTCTATTTACATAATATACTTTTACATGGATGGTGGTTGTTTAGCTGAGTGAAATTATTGTTTTACTTCTGTAAGCGATACACATATGGTTTCATTATATTAATTTTCGATTGAATTTTACTTAACACTATCTATATTACAATTTATACTACAATTAATATATTTCAACTATAAAAGGATATAAATCTAATCATTTTTCAGGTACTGACTGAAATATCTAGATATTGAAATTTTTGTACAATTTAAAGAAAATKTAAAAAGTAATTAAAAAATATGTACAAATACTTATATAAGTATTTAGTCCTATTGCCTAGGGATTTTATTTTGTTAATTTTTGACAGAATTGTACATTACATTATGTTACAATTCATTTTGCTACAATAATAAATACATCAATATCATTTTTACGTTAATTATGAATAATAATAGTTAATTATATAGATAGATATGTAATTTATCCTACCAAGTGTAATTTTTTTATTTTTTTTTATTATTCACATATTACCTAGTTATGACAATGTGTACATTACTATTACACAATAAGTTTAATTAATATACATTAATTTACCTATACATCTATATTTACATTAATTCGCTCAAACATACTGCAATATTTTTAGTGGAAAAACATTAAGTACTCACCAAAACTGTCTATGGCCATTTTTTAACATTACTATTTTATTAAATGATTGTAATTAAAAATATAAATGTAAAATTACTGTAGGTAAGTTCCACRATAGTCTACCTGTTCATAAGTATAGTWAAGTAAGTATATTATTTTYAACTATTATATATTTTTATTATAAGAAYTTTGATTCCATACTATGTACAATTTCCTATAKTCATAACGAGTTCAAAACAAATAGTTTTCTACTGCAGTTCTGAATCTGCAGTAGTACCCGTACAAAAGTACTTATATCGTATATTTAATTTTAATTTTATTACAATTACCTATCCAATTATTATTATATTTAAGTTTTGCCATATTTTCATTTTTTTTTTTAAATTTTGCGATT